CGGGGGGGAAACCATATGGTTCCCCCCCCCGACGATCTGGGCCACGCCCCCAACGTGCTGTACGTCCTGTGTCACCTCCAGTGACGCAGCTTCGGGGGGCAGAGTTCCCCACGGGGCCCGATTCTGCCGCGGCGGAATCGGGGGGGAAACCATATGGTTCCCCCCCCCGACGATCTGGGCCACGCCCCCAACGTGCTGTACGTCCTGTGTCACCTCCAGTGACGCAGCTTCGGGGGGCAGAGTTCCCCACGGGGCCCGATTCTGCCGCGGCGGAAATCGGGCCTCCAAAGCGGGGGGAAATCCGCCCCCCGTGGGATTTGGCAGCCCTATTTGTAGTGTGGACTCTATGGCGTTGTACCTAGGGTTGCCAGGTCCCCCCTAGCCACCAGCGGGGGAATGGGGGAATAGAGTTGCCAGATCCAGGCTGGGAAGTTCCTGGAGATCTGAGGGCGGAGCCTGGGGAGGACAGGGACCTCAGTGGGGCACGAGGCCACAGAGTCCACCCTCCAAAGCAGCCATTGTCTCCAGAAGAACTGACCTCTTGTAGTCTGGAAAGGAGCTGTAATTCCTGGGGGGTCCCCAGGTCCCAACTAGAGGCTGGCATCCCTGAATTTGTACCCCACTGAGGTCCCTGTCCTCCCCAGGCTCCACCCCCAAATTTTACAGGAGTTTCCCAGCCTGCATCTGGCAACTCTCCCATCCCGCACCTCTGGCCAGGGGGACTCAGAAACCCTCTAGGGGACTCCCTGCCACATGGTGCCCTGATGGTTGTTAGCTTAGTCGTTTTTTTAAAAAGGGAGGACAGACCTAACCAATGCTCCCTCTAAGCTGTGGAGTCTTGTGAGCAAAAATTCTACTTTGTGAGCTACTGGCAATAAAGTTGTGAGCCAGCGATTTGACTGCTGCATAAATCAGTTTGCTCTGGAGCCCTCCTTCCTGAGCTCAGATGAAAATGTGTGAGCCAGACGCTAAAAGACTGTGAGTTAGCTCGCACTAACTCAGCTTAGAGGGAACACTGGACCTAACTAGCAGCTGCTAGATGGACTAATCAAATAGGACGTCCATGTACAGAGGCAGTGTGCGGCGGGGAGAAAGAGCAGACGGAAGGAAATGGACATTTGAATCTTGCTTTTGAGTCACTCAAGGGCATCTTCCTTGGGTTGCCAACCTCTAGGTGGGCATGGAAAAGTATATGACTCTGTGGAGAGGTTAAAACGCTGAGCTGCAGACCGGAAGATCGGTAGCTCCGCAGTTCGAGACCCGGGTGCCGCATGATGGAGTGAGCTCCCATCTCTGGTCCCAGCTCCTGCCAACCTAGCAGTTCGAAAGCAGGAAATTACAAGAAGATAAATAGGCGCCGCTTCGGTGGGAAGGTAAAGCGTTCCGTGTACCTCGGTGTTTAGTCATGCTGGCCACATGACCATGGAGAAGTCTTTGGACAGTGCTGGCTCTTCGGCTTGGAAACGGAAATGAGCACCGCAACCCTTGAGTCGGATTCGACTGGCTTTCGAGCAAGGGAAATCTTTTGTTGTTGTTTTTCAGTCGCACAGTCGAGTCCGACTCTTCACGACCCCATGGACCAGGGGCGTAGACTTTCCAATTTCCGGGGGGGGGGGCTGGGGCTGGGCCTGGGCCAGAGGCACAAGCAAGGGGTAGAAGGGCCAGAGGCACAAGACAGTGGTAGAACCTCCTAACAATGGACAATATTGTAGGTAGTGGGTGTATAACAATCTATGTTCAAGAGAGACAGAGAGACTGTGTTGCCATTTTAGCCTAGTCCCATGTAATATGAAACCCACTGAATACTTCATTTATTATGATGACCAGCACGCCGGCGGGGTTAAATAGTTGCCCAGAAGCCCGGCGGGAAGTTCTGTGTCAAGCAGTATTTCCTTTGGTCCGTCCTGAACCTCCTGCCCATCAGCTTCACTGGATGCCCTCCAGTTCTAATATTTGGGGAGAGGGAGAAAAAGTTCTGTTTGTCAC